GCAGCAGCAGCAGCTCCAACAGTCCCATCCCTCTCTCTCTTTCTCTCAATCTGTGTCTCCTGGTTGTCTATGAGTGTATGCATGCATGTGCATTGTGAGTCAGCAGCTGCATGTTGTTCCCTGTGTTGTGGTGCTCACGCAAACTTTGGCCAGGGGTCCTGCACAATTACACTTTCCACGCAAACAAGCGTCTGACTAAACAGAAACCCATTCCTTCATTCTCTGGAGGGAGCTGAGTTTAATGCATACAGGAAATGAAAGACTTCAGGTGTAAAAAAACGAGTTGGTTTGAAGGATAAGCTACATATTGGTTCAAATGAAAGTTGAAATGTGTCACCTGTAACACTGAATAAGCCTGACGCTGGGATGTTTGCTCACATATAGGTCACCATATCCTATCTGTGGGTTTAATTGGGCCAATTTAGTACCTTATTTTATTTGTAACACATTTTTCTTCACAGTAAGCATTTTTGGGGTTTAGTATACTTGACCTCAAACTTATATTTGGTATATGACTATTTGAAAATCTCCTTAAATGTGATGAAATCATCCTTTACTTTATTTCATCCACAAACATCATTAGAAGTTTAGTTTCCCTTTAATCCTTCACGTTTCTTCACATTCAAATGTGTAAAGACTAATTCAAAGCTAAGTAAAAAAACACAGATAAGAAAATGCATTTGAACACATTAATGATGGCTCCTCGAAATGTGTTCTATGAACAAGCTGAATCCATATTTATGTAAAGGGACATTTCAGATATTTTAAGTGTTGAATAAGGTTCCTTTCCTCCGATGGAGTTTTACTACAAGAGATGGCGGTTGTTTGAATGATGACACAAACTAACTGACAGACACCATGGATCATGCTATACTACACAAAGTAATGGATTCAGGTTCTGTTGGAAAGGGCTTTCAGACGGCAAGGTGGCGACTGGGTACGTGCCCACCGCCATCTGCCGTAGGTAATAATTCTGAACCATCCCTTCGACGCACCCACATGAGTGATTTTCTCATCTTAGCAAAACCAATGTTCGTATTCGCCCAAAATGTCATGCTAATCTTTCATTGCAAGTATCTTTATTCGCAGGGGTCGCTGCAACATAAAATCTAATTTTTGCCCACTAGCCAAGGATAATATTTCCACTCTCCTCTTGAAAACCCTAACCCTAACCCTTCTGCTTCACATTCCAACACTTACAATGAATAGAAAGAAACCAGAAAAACTGTATCGATATACAGCTCCTTGTGACCCTCACTGAAACCCCATTGTTTCTCTTTCTCCCCATCATGTGTGTCTCCTCTCCTCCGTACCATGGGGGGAGGGGGGGGAGGAGGGGTAGTTATCAGGCCCGGCCAGCCCAGCCCAGCCCTCCTACCTGACCGCTGGCAGAGGGAGTGGCTGCTCTCGCCTGAGTATCTCCCACCACAACAGCACCAAGGAATGAGGAAATCAGGCTGGAGTAATCTATGCAGGCCCAGAGCACACTGGCCAGAGTGTGTGTAGTTTATAAAGTGTGTGTGTTTTTTGCGAGTGTGCACCATGCGTGTGTTCAGGAGCCCGCCACTCCTGCAACATCCGGCTATAAATCTATTGTGACACGTCAAACTGAATTTATGAGCCAATCTGCTTGCGACAGACATGTTTGATTTGAAAAGGGAAAGGAGGATAAAATAAAAAAAATCTAGTGAGACTGAACTTCTGCTTTTTTATTTAAAGCGGGATAGTTAGAATATTTTGTTCTATATGTTATTTACTAAGCGTGCTTCAATCAAATGAAGCTCATTTAAATGTTCATTCATTTTATGTGTCAACATTTTAACATTTTCCCAAAGACCTCTAAAGTCCAAATAATATCTATAGATGTAATGTGTATTTTAGAAAGGTACACAAGTTACGCACGACATGCAGAAGTAGGATCATATAGAATAGGAAAACAATGGTTTGCAATATACCCTCCTGCAATTTCATGTTTACATTTATTTCAGTTTATTCACAATTGGCATACAATACCAGGGAGCTCATTAATTTAATATGGTCACTTTTCTTAAAAAATACTTTTAATAGCTGCTCTTTTTTCTTCATACTTATTGTGTAATCATCAATAGCCATTTTTTCCGCTGTTTATCTGCTGTTGTAATAATGTACATTTCCCCGTTGCGGGACAAATAAAGGATTTCTGATTCTGATATAATATAGAAATTATATTTGGGGAAATATCATTTAAAAATCGAGGCCTTTGACATCTTTTTGATCGTTTTGTGGTCGATTCAAAATAAGGAGAAAGCTTGATGCTCTACCTGCAAGAACTAAGATTTGTATTGAAGTTTCTTTCTGCTTTTTTTAATGCATTTAACCTTTTAGCTGTAATTCTATTTTTTCACAAATAATTAGTTTACTCATTTTAGTGTGAGTTTCATCCTTAAAACATCTGAACTGAAAGGAGCTAAGAAAAGCTACATTGAATTTCATTGTGATGACATCAGTAACCCAATGTTTTGATAGTATTTCAGCATATCACGCTCTCTGTTGCCTCTCTTTTAATGACTGCTGAACTGCACTGTTTAAATGATACAGTCACATCTCCCTGTACGTTTCACATCATTTGAATAAAAGAAGCCCACACTGATGAACTTGTTCTCTTTATGACTTTTTCTATCATTACAGTGTGTGTGTGTGTGTGTGTGTGTGTGTGTGTGTGTGTGTGTGTGTGTGTGTGTGTGTGTGTGTGTGTGTGTGTGTGTGTTTGCCTTTTCAGTCTGGCTCTGTCATGGACTGCAGACCAGAAACAAGCCCGAGGTCAGAGTATTGTTATCTCATTGATGTAATTATGTCCACTACTGCTTGCTCACATGCACAAAACACACACACACACACACACACACACACACACACACACACACACACACACACACACACACACACACACACACACACACACATACACACACCGGCAGCTGCCTGTTCCCTCAGTGGAAGCAGGTGTCTGTAAATCTCGTGGGGTTTGGGGCTTTTTTTTCTCTCTCTTTTTTTTTTTCTCTTTTGGGTGTAGTAGTAGATGGTGAAATTCCCAATGTGAAAGTCTGCCTCTCTCTCTGGCCTCTTTCCACAAGACACACACTAAACCACACACATTGCTGACAGGGAATCTTTACAACACTGCACTTTCGCCTCTTCGCTGTCTATTTACTCCATCATTGTTACATTAAACCGCATGTTTGTTTAGATATATGAACACACGTATAGCTGCAGTAAGATCATGCACCCCAGAGGAAACTATTTCTGTGTAGCTCGGCCTTAAATACCACAGCTCCTGTTAGCCATGTGTCCGTCACGATGAATGTCTTTTTATGTATCCCTCCGAGACTACTACTTGAGATGGGAATCTATATTTGAGGGCACTGTGGTGGATCAGGGTGAGGGGGTGCAGGGGGTGCAGGTGGCAAGAGGAAGGGTAGGGGGGGTTGTAAATATAGATCTTAGCCCTTTGACTTTCATAGCCTCACAGGAAGACATGAGACTAAATGTGGAGCTCATACACGTGTTAATGTGTTTTTGGAGGATTTTATTGGACACGGTTCATTTAAATGTGTAAAGGAGTTGACTTGTTTTCTTTGCCAGTGTTTGCGTTTCAGGAACTTTCACGTGAGTGGGCCTTTCTTATCCACAGAAAGAGAGGCAACAGTTGGATGAATTTGCTTATTATCTTCGCTTGCTGATAAACTCTGCACTCACTTATTAATTGGCAGATGGAGGGAAAGTTTTATGATCTGCTCTGCACAACTTTATGACAACACACCTTTGTATCTGCAGGATTGTGTGTGAGATGAGGGTGGGGTATTTGAATACTACAATCCTTAAAGATTTGCATAGTAGACACCCAGATAGCAAATCATTCATTCACTTTAAACACAGGAATTAGCCTGGACACTTGTGTGCCCTCATAGTGTTGTTTACACTGGTAACCTAAACTACTGCAGTCTATTTGTGCTACAATATTGACTTGTAAAAACGTGTTTACAGCTTACATGTATGGAAATGTTGTTTATTCTCCTTTAGGAACGGCTTTTGAATTGCTATTTACTTTTACAACTTCAAACTGATGCTTTTATTTTTGAATGATATGCCCAAAATGACACCAAACACAAGGATTTTAGTAAAAACAACACACTTTATTTACTAGGCAGTATAGAAAAGTATAAAAAACATGAAAACTTGGCATGTATAAATGCTTTTATAAAATCCTTTTTACTCAAAGGCTACTATAAAAAAACAAGGCGTATACAAGATTGTCTGCTAAGTGTTTGTAATGGACTACGGCAGTCTTAGTAAGAAAACTAAATGATGATTGAATATACAACAATATAAAACAATTCAAAAGAAATGTATAAAAACAAAAACCATACAAAAGTTTCTATTTGTATTTGTTTGTAGCATTATATAAAATATCAGTGTTTAGTACCCTCACTTTTTATGGAGAATATAACATTCAAGTGCAGCTTGGTTTTACTCTTACTGGGTGAGGCTCATTAAATATAAGCTCATTTCATATTTTGTAAATATATATACTTTGTCTTTAACACATATATTTGTTCAATACAGGATACTGTGAAGGCCAGAAGTAAATTGAAATGAATTTAATTTCTATAAAATAAGGTGCCAATGTGGTGGTCAGGTAATACTAATAAGGCTGGCCCCTTATGTTGTGTAAAACAAGATCATTCATAGTTTAATAACAGCGCTTCTGGCTCAGTAGTTAAGAGTTTACATAATGTGGCATGGACCAAACAATTGAAATTCTCAGTAGACACATTGTAGCCTGTAAAAAATAGCAATAAAAGAAATAGAAACGTCTCAAGAGGTCAGTTTTCAATCCATTAATATGCCTTTGGAATAATATGATAATGCTTAAATACTTAAAATCAACACTGCTCCATTGGCCAATTGTAAAAAACAAAACAATAATAACATTATCAAAATTAAACAAAAAAGGAAATAAATTAATCAACTTGTTCTTTATATTAATATTACAATTCAGAATTAATAATACAGCCCATTGAAAATGATATAGCCACCGTTTCCCATTTATAATACAACATTAAAAAAAAAATGACAAGACCAAGAGTAAGGACGTACAATAAAACCCAGAGCAAATTCTGTATAAAAGATTAAAAAAAAAGGTTAGTCTTTGGTTGGTTGAAATCCAACAAGTGTGAGTGTAAAAACACCAATGGCAAAGAGCCTCTCCCAACTGTTGTACCACAACAAAAATGTAATCCGCCGCGCTGCGTCCAGCGCAGGGACTGCTGATCTTTCACTTCAACAAGTGTCTCTTTACATGACCAGTGTCCTCGTGGGGTAAGTGTTGATGTACTTGTGGCTCTGCTCCGAGGCCAGGACGTGCTCCTCGGTTTTCCCACAAGTCACCTGTTCCCAGGGACTGAGCTGCTGTTGACACGGGATGACAGGAGGATGAGTTCATTAGCAATCACCACCATTTTTGTATCATTTTTTAAAAACCTAGATCAAGAATGAGTGTTCTACAAGGAAATGAGTTGGCATGTCTGGGTTCCTTTTTATCAAAGACAATGTTTTTTTTTGTTTTTGGTAAGACGACTTAAATGGTGGTTGAAACAAGCTTTTCAAGATGTTCATTGTTTGTTATGCGACACATAATACGTCAGTAAATACCCAACTTATGAATCTTTGAAAATGTTAACATGTCTTTATAAAGGGGGTTCCCAAAAAGTTGAGACTAAACGAGTCCACATTTAGCTTAGCAGTGATGACATGAAGCTATTCGACCATGACGTATAGAGCTTTTTACTTTCTGGCAATCATATTTGAGTGGTTTTAATATGAAGAGATATTCAAAAGCCCAATGGAAAAGTCCTATTGGCTTTTGTCGAGGGAGTCCTTGCTAACTTCCTGTTTGGCCGACAAAAATACGTAAATCTTGCACCACACTAGAAACGAGTACACACCTGTAGTGGGCTGCCCATGCCTCTGCGAGGGTGGTGGTAGGCTTTGTGTCCATCGTCACTCAACATTGAGCTGGTGAGTAGGTCCTAAATGAAAGCATACAAAACATACGTTAGAGACAGAAATCTAAATATTTGTGAGTGATTAAGAAAAGCTTTGTGTTAGAGAACTTGAAGGTTGAAGGAGCTTACAGGTACTTCCTGTGCGGGGCCGCTTGGGGAGAAGAGCTGTGTGTGGAGCTCTTGTCCTTCCCACTGCATACACGGGCTCCTCTCACACGGGGACTCCACCTAGGATCCAGAAGAAATCCTGGTAAATATCACGAGAAACTTCGATAGTTGCAGTTCAAACCCTAAACTCAAAAACCATTATTCCTCAAAACTGTGTTGCAAAACTAATTCAATTTCTCCACATTTGCTAACAACAAATTCTTATCTCAGTCTCACATTTGCCTGCATGTTTCTTTTATGCCCATGTGCTTGTTTTGAGTGTAAAGTACCTCTTGTTTTATCTTCTTCAGAGGAGGCTGGTCGATGGCACACTCCATGGGCTCCTGCTTGATGGAATCTATCATCAGCTGCTCCGAAGGGGAGTTCTGGGGAAAGAGACCAATCCTCCAAGTAAGTCACAAGGAAACAACAACAAGCACGACAGAATGAAACATACCAAATGTAAGCCTTGAGATATTTTTAAAGTTCCTCACCAGTAGTTTGACGGGGCCATACTTGGCCTCCTGCATGGCCAGGGCTGACCTGAAAGGCGTGGGCGTACAGGGGGAGGACTCCAGGATGGAGCGACGGATGTTTGGAGTTCTGAACCTGAGAGTTATAAAGACAAATGTTTGTTAGGAGCCATTTACCACAACTTTGTATGATGACAAATATGTTATTTAGAGAGATAGAGCAACTTACATTTCATTCTGTGTGTGGGGGCTGATGGTGTGGTGGATCACAGGCTTGGTGTCCACGGGCGAACTCATCCGTAAACTGTCGTTGTCAGAGTGCTCCGGGCTCATTGATTGGTTGAGAAACTGTGGAACAAAAGGAAGCAAAGCCATCAATCAAAGTGGGAAGTTTATTTTAGAGCAATTTGGCAGATGATGGATGGAACACTAGGTCGGAACTACAGAGATGGAGAAGAAAGGAGAAAAGAGGGCCGGTGCGAATTTTAAATGATTGAAAAATATGGAGACAACAGAGATCTAATTCTAAATGATTGGTGGTTGATATGATCAGGTGGCAGGTTGGTGATTGGATGGATTCTGACCCCAGGCGGCTACTTTTACTACCTGTGAGGGTGAAAAGGGGAGCTTTCTGACTGGTGAGGGCTTGGGAGTTGAGCAGGTGAAAGTAGCCCATGCTCCGTGAGCAGTTCCTGAGCCCTGATTGGGCGAGAGGACCCTGTCTGTTCTGAGAGCGCTCCTATCACGGAGCCCGCCGGTAGTGGCCTCACCCACTGAGGAGAGGCTCTGGGAAAATGGCGGGAAAATATGGGTCAAACCCCACTACTTGGTCAAATGTATGTTGCTACTTGCTATGCTATCCTTTTTGAACTTAAAAATGTCATCTTACGCCCAAAAACAATCTAAATGCAGATGCTTACTGAATCGATGACACAGTCCATGAAATTGTTGTGAAGGCTGTTGTTGTTGTTGTTGTTGTTGTTATTATTATTGTTGTTTCTGCCGTTTGAACGTGATGCAGAGGCGCTCTCCTCAGGTAGGCAGCTCTGACCCAGAGGCAGGGCGGGGGCGTGGTGGTGAGGTAACAACATGACGCCCTCTGAGCTGCTGGTCAAAGCGCTCTGGCCGGCCCAGCTGGGATAGGACAAATTCATCTGGGGGAGAAAAAGATACAAAGATTCAGGGTTAGAGCACGGCGAAGAAGAATCATCTGGATGTTTCAATAAGGCGCGAGAGACACATTTCAAGTCCGACAAGAGGAAAGGGAACTTTTATGTCAAGACGTGTTGTGAGGAGGGTTGCACAAGGGGTCACGCACGCGCACTATGGTTCTATTTCGTCACGTTTGCAGAAACAGACCCCCCAGATGTTTCCTCCTCACAGCCACACACATGCAACCACTGTCCTTAAAGCAGGGGTCAAAAAGGCATGCACATAAATTGTGCTGTCACTCAAATATTTCATAGTTCCAATAAATCAACATTTAAAAAGAATCGCAGTATGGACCACCCAATACAATATCCAAATCCCAGTAGGTGCAAAATGTACTAAATATGTTCCTGGCTTGCAAATGGTATTCTACACACTTCCTTGATTGCGACAGATACTCCCTCACAATATGGTCATTGTAATGTATTTTTCATTGATAATGTGATTAATGTTTAAATAATGCACATTTTCGATAATATTGCAAATAAAATCGCAAAAAATATTCAGATTTGTTTTCCCCAAAGACACACGAGCGACTTACTGATAGTGATGGCTTCCCTCTCAGCTCATCTTCTGTTGACATGAGCAGCATCTCGATCTCCTTCACCCTCTGCTCCTTCTCGGGGTCCTCCTCGTTATAGTGTCTCTGCGAAAAGTGGGCGGGAGTAAGGTTTTAGTGACAGTCCATATTATTTTCTAACAATCCTTCCTGTAGCCACACTAGAGTGAGTGCTGGGTTTACCTGTATAGCAGCAGTTCCATGCTGGGGCATGTTCCGGATGTTAAAAGGCAGCGTCATCTGGAACGGTACCTGTTCATCCAATCAGAAACACACGTTAAATGAATAAATCACCTGCAGCAAAGCAATCAGAATTCTATAGTTTCCCCCTCCGGCACTCCCTGAAAGCCCACTCACCCTGTGTGTGTCGGAGATGTAGTAGAGTTGCGACAGTGGAGACATCTGCGTGTGAGCGGGCGAGTGGTGGGGGTAGCCCATGATGTGATTGCTGTTCTTGACGTAGCCGTGGCTGATGGAGAGCGATGAGTTGCCGTTTTTTGCCGTTAGCTGCAGATAGCCCTCCTGCTCCACCTTCCTCCTCATGGTGGAGTTCCAGTGGTTCTTTATAGCGTTGTCAGTCCTGGATGTCACCAAAAGAAAAAGCATGTATTAGCTTGCAGGGTATTTATTACAAAACACATCGGCAAAGACATGCTAGTGATACTTGACAGCGTTATCAATTCACACACACACACACACACACACACACACACAGATGTTGCTACAGATAGTCACACACACACATCTGATAAGGTTATTAGTAAAAGCTCAATCATGTCTAGACTACATTATCTTTTTCGTCTTAGTCATTTGATTCTCGGCCCTTCTCTATAAAAAAACACTGTTTCTTTTCATCTTTATTCCTCTGAATCTTCAGCCACTACTTCTCCTCCTAGTTGTTACTTTCCTTCAGTGCCCTCTCCTCCATTTCACCCTCTCAACCACACATTGGTCAACCAACCAAGAGCTCAATGATTCATGTAGCTTCTCTTGTTCCACCTTGTTTCTCCTTTTGTCTCTCTGCCTTACCTGCCGGGGAGCAGCTTAGCGATTTCGGCCCAGCGGTTTCCCAGCTTCTCGTGGGCCTGGTAGATGATCCGGTCCTCTTCCTCGGTCCACGAGGTCTTCTTCACCTCCGGGTTGAGGTGGTTGTGCCAGCGCTCGCGGCATTGCTTGCCGATGCGCCCCTTCAGATGCTTGGCGATGACCGACCAGCGCTTGGCTCCGTACTTCTGCACCAGCTCGATCACCTGGGGTAGGTGCGTGTTTGTGTGTGTGGGGTAGAGAAAGAGGAAAGACGAGAGGAGAGGAGGAAGAGCATTGCAAAGGTAGAGAAGTAAGTGGTAGTGGAAATGCGTGAGGAAAGAGGAAGGAAGGAGCAATAACAGGGAGGAGAGGGAGAAGTAAAGGGGGGGAGGAAAATAACAAGGTGAAAATGAGGGGGGAGAAAAAGACAATCAAAAACACGTTAGAGAATAATCTCTTCTACATTGTGCCAGTGAATGCTTATCCTCTCCTTCTTCCTTCTTTCTTTATCTTTCTTAAGGGGTGATTGAGAACACCTGCTGGTGAGCAGGGAGGGAGTTTCCAGTGGAACGTTAGCCACTCTGCTAATCATTACAGTGGCATCTGGGTGGAAATATAACGCCTTTGGACTTGTTCAATAAACACTTCACTGGCTTCCATGCTGCTCGTTGGGTAACAGCAACTTTTTGGGAAACTAAAAATGTGCAACAGCAGCCAAGCTGTTGCTACAGAATAGCTTTTTTATTACCCTGAATGCCACCCGATTGCCTGCACCTACATTACTCTAACATCTAAAGCACTTCTGCATTACTACGCAAGGTATTTACTATAATACACAAAGTGAAATGTGCTTTCTTTCTTGAATTTCATTTTGCAGTTTTCTTACCCTCTGGTCCTCCTCTTTGGTCCAAGGCCCTTTGATGAGCTCTGGGTTCAGAACCTTCTGCCACCTGTGCTGACACTGCACATCTGACCGATTCTGGTAAATCACAAAGCATGAGATTAGTAATCATCGTTATGTATTGGGAAGTTATTTTGTGCATCTGTGCGTGCAAGTGTGTAAGCACAGGCCCTCTTACTCACAGTTAGTAAGCTTGCAATGAGTTTCCAGTCTTCTGACCCGTGAAGTTCGGCAAGTTTCTTTAACTTCTCATCCTGAGTGAAGAGAAAAACATATTGCAGTCTGTCAGCCATCTAATATGTCACGGCGATGAACATCAGCCCACATCAGTGAATGTGGTTGGACCAGACAACAATGAAAAGAAAGGTTGCAGGTTCGTGTGAGGTGATCGCCCCTGAGGCAATGTCCATACATAATCAAATAGCGTTGTATTGTACAGAAGAGGTTTTGAATGTGTGTGTACCTCTTCTCGTGTCCAACGTGTTTTGCCGAGGTGGCGTTTCCCTGCCTTGGCCAGCGCTCCATCATAATCATGTTCATACATCTCGTTCTCCTCCTCATCCTCCTCGCTACTGTAAACACTGCCGACATGAGAGAAAAAGGGAAAATAAAATGAACAAATGGTGGCGACTGTGTGAAAAATAACAGTGTAATATAATAGAAAGGTAAATAATAAGCACAATAAGGACCGGCCTGTTTCCAAACTACTCCCTAATCGTCTCTTTACAGAGCGCATAAAGAACTCTTTAACTCATCAGGTGTCAACACAGACAGAACCAGTCATTCTTGAAGGTCTGGGTGCAGGCTTTTAGCCAAGACAGGGGAGAGAGAAAAAAAAGAGAGGGAGAGGAAGAACCGCGAGAGGGAGGGAGGGGGGGG